TGAACTGCTGAGTTTCGTCAAATTAGGCACACAGGTGATACCTTCAGAACAGTGCATACCGGCGAGTGATGGCCAAACAAATAGGATTAGTTAAAGGAATTAAAAGGCCGATCGCAGTGTGGTCCTTGTGTACTTGGGGTGCCAAAACGTAAGCTTCGACTGATTTCCCCTCGGGATATAATTTTGAAAAGAGTAAAACGCGAAGACAGACGGGCGGAAAAAATACGCAGAAAACTTACATAGTTGATGAAGGCAGCATTATTTGCCCGTGCAAGGTCACCCTGAACGAACTCGCCCCAACGTATCCGAACTTCGAGAGGTATCACTAAAAAAAACAATAAGCATGGACTTGAGGACGGGGACCAAGCCATATTTGAAAATCAAACGATAATCCTAAGACAGATGAAATGCAAGTGGTGTAATGTCGATTAGTAATCTGAAGTAAAGACATGAATGTTAACTTGATAGGCGTAAGGTCCCACAAAAAAGGATCCACTTATGTGCATGATTAACGAATCTTTTTGATTGGGATTCTAAAAAATAAGCCAGTAAGCTGCTTCGCATCATGAAGCCAGAATTTTTTATTCCAACGCGAACTGTATAGAGCTGCCAATCAGGGCAAACAACGTAAGAAAGTACTACATAACCGCTACTGAAATGTTGCCAGCAACTGAACTAACTGAAATATAGCATAATGGATAAATGAAACGAAATTACTTATATCAAGCCTCAGGTAGCATAAAAGGCCAGGGAGTAGAAGTTTAAATTTCTTTTTGATAGTATCTTAAGGGGTTAGATTATGCAGCAAGGCTCAATACGTTTGATGATAGTAGTTCACGCGTTGTGATCGGCGTTGTTTCCGAAGCTAATCACCTGCGCGACACAAGGTAGAGACCCAGATCCTAAATTATGTTGCTCAGAAACCCTGAAAATCGAAGCGCCTAAAGGCTGGAGTAGAAGTGCCGAATACTAATAGCCATGCTGGGGCTTCTTGTTAGGAACAGCATGCGCATATAATCTACAGTCAAACGCCCTAAGCCTGATAATATGAATGACAGAGAGACTATGTTGAGGTCGAGTCTTGTCTGTTGAAGTCAGTCGGGTGTGCAGGGAAGATAAGAAGGTCAAACAACGACGTGAATTAGAGAACAGACGTTCACACACGTTCAACAAATACACTAAAACAGGACGTCTATCCGCTATCGTACTTTTCAGGCGACAACACCAGAAACGTAACATGTAAACAACTAAA